CAAATTTTTCTCGGGCTGCGGCAATTATTCGTGTCTCATCTCTCACGTTTTGTCATCCAGTCCTACAGACGAGACGGTTAACATAATGATATAACATAATATTTTATCGCGAAACATGAGGTGATATTATTTTCGACCGCGGCTACATCCAAATCCGTGGGCGTGACAGTCTATTATCGCGAGGGGTGTGCGTGTGGGGGTAATGTATAATATAAATTTAGTCGTATTATTTTGTGACCCGGCGACCACATCCGCGCTGCGCTGTTTTATTTATATATATACAAAATAAAACCGTATATATAATTAATACACATCGTCACCCCGTCGTCGTCGCCGTCGCCGTCATCTGCGGTGGCGTATAYAGTTGCAACGACGACGACGACGTAAATGAAGTCAGCGCGGTCGTAAATTTAATAAACGCGATCTGGGACGGCGGCGGTGGCGACGACGATGCGGCGACGAGGTATTAGTAGCGCCACGAGGCCCACCCGGAAGCCGACCACGCCGACGCCACGCGCTAGCCATAAACGTCGTGCCGACCTAACGCCCTTAACGACATCATCGGCGGCGTGTGCGTGCGCGATTTCGGGTCCTTCGCGCCTGCGAATCAATCGCACATAATATTAAACCACCGGCACATGACACGGTGACGCGTCGTAGTTTTATGATGGGTTTATATACGACGTATATATATAATAGTAATAAAATTATAGTGGCGAACAGGAGGAACCGTTTCTGCCGGATCCCCGTCACGGTTATTACGATTATTCTTTATAATTCGTGTGTGTTAAATGCAAAATACATTAATAATATTATAATATTATGCCACCGCGTAATCGATAATTATATGATAATATATAATTATTACCGGCTAATATTACGCGCACATTATATATCCGGCGGCGGTTTAGTGCAGGCGGTCGCGGATATATGATGCACGTCGAGCCACCCCCAACTCGTCTGGCCAAGCCAAATTCAATTTGATTCTTGTTATTTTCGGGTAGGTTAACTTACTTGCAATTTCGCAATTATTTACAAATGTCATTGCTATTATACCTACATTTTACATTACCATTTTATTTTATATATACCACAACATATATATTGCTTAAAAATTACTTTTGGCGGAAACGGGAATCGTACCTTTTTCGTTTTTGGCGGAAACGGGCTATGGCGGAAACGGCCAATATTATTTTGGCGGAAACGGGTAACTCCCACTGGATCGCATCACTCAGGGTTACCATGGGACATATTATGTCTATATATTGTCGTTTACTTTTGAAAAGGTCGATAGATAGTTTTATTTCCAACGATAATATATTTTATATATCGAAAGAGGAAAAGTATTAAAGCACAGATCATTTATTTTTTGGTTGACCTAATTTTGTAATTCTTGTACTTTTCTATTATACTTTCTGCTCTTTATTATTTTTCTAAATGTTGTTATTACGACCACATCGAAACAGGATTTCTGACATTTTGTCGTTTAAATTTTATTTTTTAAAACATTCAACGAGTACAATTACTCAACATCACTTCCAACATGTTAAATTAGCCCAAATTTTTTATCCATTGAATTTTCCAGGTATTTTTGTTAAACTATCCTTAACAGATAACACAAATTATTATTATATTATACCAAACGACTAACGACAACCAAAAACAGTACTATACTATTGTCAACTGAAAAACATATTTTAAAATCATTAGGAATGCGAATTTAAAAATAATTTGATTTTCGACGCTTATAGGCTATATATTATCACTGGATGCAAAATTATAAGAAGCTGTCGCTTGAATTCAGCAATAGATATTTTTTTTTAATAATCTTATTAAACACGACATTGAATTTCCAATGCGTTAATGTTTTCCTATTCGTTCTTAAGTTATTCCTTCAATGCCATATATTRTAGGCCCCAGTAATTTTTATATCTGTAAAGTTTTTGACGTAGCAATGTTCTGCATGAACAAAAGCTATAATACCGGTACAATACAGAATTATATCATCGCAATCGTAATCAACATTTAAGAGTTGTATATAAATAGGTTAGGTTAGATTTATGTTTGAAATTTAAAATCCCAGAGTATAATAGTATCTATATAAGATGAATTTTACAGTGCACTAGTGCAGTGAAAAGCCGTGATGGATATTATTATTTACGTGTTGTATTTGTAATATATATATGATCGAGCCGGTGAGCCGGATGTTATATATAATTATTATATATACTACCTAGTATCATATTTGAGCGGGCCGCACAAAGCGGGCAGAACTAAAGCGATTTTTTTTTTAATATGACGTATATAATATATGTAGATAATATTATACAAACGTATTTTTCAAATGAAAAAAAATAACAAAACAATAATTTAGGCAAAATGCAGTTGGTGTGCGATGGTTAGCGGGCGAGGGAGTGTATTCACCAGCTCCTGCCCTCTGGTGATAGTACGCACGCTGGTTGAAGTCCATCGATTTGTGCCAAACTGTCGCAAGTGTTTGCCCTATACTATCGGACGTAAGGTTAGGTTATACAGCGCAATACACATCATGTAATATACGCATATACATGTATATTATTATATTATCATCATTATGATAAAATATAGTAATCCAGATATATGGTCTGATCAAGAATGAACTACAATAAGGTTCAGAACGGACCARTGACCTAGTTTACTAAGTTTTCGGGACTGTTCGTAAAATAGGAGTGCCAACAACTAGGTTGGACTTTGAATAAAATATAGAGATTTGTTCATTAGTTTCTAACGCATTTAAAAWAATAAACATAAAATTTAGATTAACATTTTAACACATAGCACATAGGTATATATACAGTAGTAAATAATAATTATAAAATTAACATTTTTAAATCCACTGTTTTGATTTATACCTGATGTTGTTTGATACTTTGGTATTTGTCTTTTTAAAACTTAAAGCGAAAATAATTTCAGAAAATAATTTTCTATAAATATTTAGTTTGATAATATTTTCTTCAGCCTAGCTATATACCTAAGCAAATATTAAATCAATCATTTTTTTTTTCAAATTAGTTAAGTACTATTACTTGTTTTATTTAAGAGATTAAAAAATAAGTTGGAATTATAGACACTACWTTTAAAATTATCCTGTGCTCTTGACATTTGAAATTTTATTTTATTTGCAGGACTATAGGGTTTTATTTTCGGAGATTTTATTATTAAATTATTATTTCCGAATTATTATTATTATTTACATTTTAAATCTTTATAATTATGTTTAATTACATATCTCAATATTTTTTTAGTAAGGATACCTAAGACCTAGTATCGATAAATACAGTTCTGAATGTGTTATAGTTTTTAAAAATCAATATTTATGATTAACAACACTATTTACTCCGAAAATCGATTTTTTTATTTTTTTTTTAAAAGCACCGAAGTCTTTTTTTTATTTTCTACTCACTTGTCGTAATCCTGACGGCAGTATAATTTTGCGTTCCACACAAAACAGGACCGATCTAGCTTCAACCCACATGTGGTGCATTTAAGGCACCGTTCGTGATAAGATCGACCGGATACACGCATAATATACCTATCTGCAATTGTGCACTCACATTTAGCACACACGGTAGACACTCCCGGCGGTTCTAACGGATCGTCTCCGTAAATTGGTTCCATTTTCATTTTGACTACGTCTAAAGCTGTCTTCATCTCGATTCCTTTGAAAAACGTACAAAAATACTGATATATAAATATACAACAGTAATAACTAATAAATAATATCTTCAGTTAAGTAAATTTCCAAAAACTTAGTAAAGACGAGTAAGTAAGTCTAGTTACTTACATTTTTTTAATCATAATAAATATTTTAGGTATGTCCTTGGTATGAAGAGCATAATATCACAGTGGGCACCTTCACTTGAATAAGACTATTGTTAGAAAAATAAAAAATTCTATAAAGTGAGGCCCCAATTGAACATTTGATACATCATAGTTTAGAATTTGTATGTGATGCTTTTGGTTCGAGCTGACAATATTGATAAAATATTTTATTATATTAATGATCATCGTCATCGTAATAGAAAATGTATTCAACTATGTTTGAACACACGTGCAGCATACGATATACACGTGCAGCGATCTCCCCATGTAATCCTTTAATTCAGATGTCTACCCTTTGTGCATTTCATATGTGACTTGATTAATTCCACGATAGACTATATATAGTCCATATATAGATGATGAGTTACCCTTCTTACTATGATTGACATATTTTATTAAGTCTTTGAAAAGTTTGTAAATAAAAATTTTTAAAATTCAAGTTGCACTCAATAATTAATTTCAAAATAAATTGTTGGGTTCAGTATTATTTTGATGATATATTGTCTCACTTTTCAATGTAATAATTGTAGTACAGTCCTGTAAAATCTAAATATTAAACATTGACCGTTACTACAATATTACTGATTAGTGTTTATGTCATATTCTAGGTAAACAAGTAAATTCATAAATTCAAGCCCACTTTCCAGCATGACTTGCTCATTAACAAAATATATTAATACTCAATAGAATTGGCATATGGTATATTTGCATGTCTTTTTATTTGAGCTTGCCCACGTTCAGTATATATTTCCAATGTCCACACATTATAAATTATGATTATATATTATATATAAATATATAATTTACTATTTATTATATTTATTTATTACGTATATATGCAGTAGAAATTTTGACAAACGCCCAAACATTCTTAATGTCGATTTGTCACATTCACAAATAAGTT